AAGGTGAGGAGTCTAAATTTAGAATCTGCTTAGCACTTGAAGATCAATAATTCTCTTTCCACTATCGTGAATTCGACAAGACAGGAGGTAATATTCTGTAAAACACAGCTGGCAAAAAACATGTTGTATCTTTAAAGTGTATGGAATCCCTAACAAAAGCTTCCCTTGTTTGTTTCTTTTGGTCTTTTAATTATACTGTATACCATTGGAAGCATTTTGTTATATCTGATCAAAAGAACAGATATAACAAAAGTGCAAAAAAAACACCTGCTAATCTTGTCAGAATTTCATTTGTCCTGTGTCTTCATCACACTTTCTTTGTCATTTCAAAGAGCCTTGCTAGTCCTTATCATGAACTACAAAATAGTTAGCCTTTAAGCTCCATTCACACTAGTTCAGGCCATGTGGCCCGCGTTTGCTCAAACACAGCAGCCTATTCATTTTCACCACATAAAAATGGTGCATGCACCTTTTTAAAAACATGGCTGCATAGAAAACACATGACCATGTGGTTTCCCTGCAGATCCTGCTCCTGCGATCGCGCTGCAGGCTGAGATGCGTGGGGATCCCATTCAGAATGAGGCAGCTTGATTCAGCTGTGGATGGTTGCAGGTATTGATGCAATTCCCGCACCCGCAATGCACAGTGTGGGATAGTGTGAACCTAGCTATCTGTTGTGGAGATCTGAGAGTAGGAATGGTTGAGCAGTTTGGCTAAAGATACTGGGCATGGCTCATACTCAATCTAGAAAAAAGCTGTATATTTTCTGCTTACAACAGAATTTAGGAGCTGAGTGCATTTCCAACAGATAAAAAGGGTTTTTTACAATTTTTACAGAGATATACAAGGGAATTGTGCATGTATTGCTGAGTCGTACTTCATTTTTTTTTTACATTTTGCCATGACATATGTCTTCAGACTTCTGTATGCTGATAAAGCTAGTATAATAAGCAAGTTTTGTTCACAAATCACAATCAATGACACTGTGGCCTGGCCACCTGCATTCTAGTAACTAATAATGCTGTGCAGCCTGATCGCCAGCATCCTAGCAACCAACGACCAGGAGAGAGTAAGTGGTGGTAAAAATGTCTGCCTCAGGCAGCATATGTACACGCAGGACTCTGGACATACTTTTAAAGATCTTTGTGAATCCATGTACAATCACTGTGGTGGATTTGTCACATTTAAAATTTGTACAGCATTTAGCTCAATCTTGAGCTTATATAGTTATTAGCTATATTTAATATTTTTACTCTAGAATGTAAATAACATTATTTCTACATGCTAGTATTATTATATTTAATTGTATATAATTCAGTTACATTTCATTAGTTTTATTCTACACAAAAAGTTTTTTAATGTATTAATACAAATTGCAGTTCAAAGGAAATCAATTTGTGAACATCCTGGAGATTTCTTTATTGCTATGTATATTAAAGTACTTTTTATTCTACTTAGTTTCATAGAAAGGTTTATTATATTCTTTGGAATCCTCTGCACTTACAATATATACTCCTTTTCAAGAGGTCATCACATATATCAATAATAAAATGGTGGTTATTGAGAATGCAGTCATAATGTAATATCAGGCAACCAGACATTTAGGCATCTCTGCAGCAGGTAAAAGTCAAGCTTCAACATTTGCCACTCCATTATAGGACTACTCCAACACCTGCTTTGAAATCATGGAACAGTTGGACTGAATTGCACCGATAAAACATGCAATGATAGCCAAGAAAGCCCAAGCCGCATATGTTAGTAAGGCCTCAGAGCTTATACGTACATACTACGTCATTATCAGATAGTTTAAAATGTAAGTCAGTGACTTATTTCAATGTACACTAGCATGACAGCTTTTTAAAGAAGAGCTAATCTAAGCACTTTCTACATCTAAATCAAGAGGAATTTTCTTAATACATTTTCTGTAAATGAATAAATACTGTTTAGGAGGTGCTGAAACTACTAACAGTCAGGCATATGTGGAAGAACTAAAAAAGGAGATTATTTTCCTACATGAAAGTGAGCAATGTCAGAGGCTGAAATGGGCATTGCATGGTTTGTAGTTCCTCCCAATGGTCTAATAAAATGATGTTGGCCTCCTTCAGAAAATTATAGTTGCCGTGACCTGGCCCAAATATGTATGCATAGCAGTCAAGTCAAAGTTAAGTCAGAAGTCCCTATCTACATACATGTTCTTGGTTAGTGACTCAAAGTATTGGAGCTGGAGGATCAGTATGATGGCCAGACAACAAAAATGTACAGAATAAGTATACAATGATACAATGATTCCCTAAGGAAAGGTTTCCTTTGAAGCAGAATGTTCTCAGTCAGCAAATTATCCAAGTAGACAGGCTTAGGAGATCAGCTGACATATAATCAGAACTACCAGCTGTGGAAACAGACAAAATTAGAAACTAGAAGAGAGTTTATGATTATTGACAGTTTGGCTATATATGCTGAAAAATAAATATGAGCAATAAATACAAACATGAGTTGTTTTTGGCCCCAGTTGTTCAGCTGGCCATTTTGTACATTGCTACAATACAAGTCTCCTTACCTACTTATAGTGAGAATATTAATACAAGCCATTAAAGTACTTATTTATCCAAAAATTAAACAATGTACATAAGAATGGATTTTTATGGACTAACAGGTTCACCAATAAAATGTTCTGAAAAGGAACCTAGGTCACCAATAAAATCACCAAAGTAAATGCTTTACCTTTAGGGGGTTTATGGCTTCTTTTGGGTTTTTCCCCCTCTGGTTCTGCTTGAAGCCCTTCCGAGCCAGCTGTACAAGCATGAGTTGTTTTGGCCCCAGTTGTTGTTCAGCTGGCCATTTCGTACAACGCTACAATACAAGCCTCCTTACCTGCTTACAGTGAGAATATTAATACTAGCCGTGAAAGCACTTATTTATCTAAAAATGAACAATTAACTTGAGAGTGGATTTTTATGGACTAATAACAGTAAAAAGTTCTGGAAGGGAACCTAGGTCACCAATAAAATCACTAAAGTAAATGCTCTACCTTTAAGGGTTTATGGCTTCCTTTGGAGTTTTTCCCCTCTGGTGGTGCTTGGAGCCCTCCCAAGCCTGCTGTGCAAATAGCAACTTTCCCAAAGTGCATACGCACTGGAACACCCCCACATGAGAATGCCTGGGCCTGCCAACAGGTTAGTCATTTTGGGATGTTGTAAAGAACGAGTAGGGGTATTACAGGTCTGCTGGGGGAATGAGAAACTGAACAAACTTGTGTTAGTAACATTATTTTAGCAGTTTTACTGATCCATCAAGATTTCCTAACATTACATTGAAAAAAAAAAACTATTTGTGTTATAAGGAAAGCATCACAATTCTATAAATAAGCGCGATTTGTGTATAAATCTGTCATTTAGGACAAAAGATATGCAAAGCTTTGGACATCATCAAAGAGAAGTTAGTCAAAACCATAATTGATGTGACTAGTTTCACTTTGTAATTACATTAATGAATGATAAGTTAGGACATTTTTACATACATCAATCTTATTAGTATTCATTTTTATAAATAATCTATATCTACATGAATCGGGTACATTATTTTCTTTTTTCAAATAAATAACAGTCCTAATGCATAATGAACAAATATAAAACCCCTCTAGTCCAGTTACGAAATCCAATCATTTAAAAATGTGTTTTAAAATACTGCTAGCATAACTATTTCAATTCTATCTCCACATCATAATAGTAACCCCCTAAAACAGCAGGAATCAAACTTATACTGGGAAGTTACAAGAATTAATCAGGAATTACTGCATTGCACAATGACAATCTAGTATGACTTTGGGCAATGGGAACAATAGGGGAAGATGTTTTGCCAGCTTACAGGAAGATCTGAGTTGAACACAAAGTGATCTCAGCAGTGTGATAACGCTCTTTCCCTTAGTTCAATGAACAGACAGATGACACAAGAAGCTGCGAAATGTTTGTAGTGATTAGTGATGTCCTCATTCTGTCTGAAGCAATAAGGTGGCTAAGGCCTTTATATCCAAGCATTGTTTATCTGCGTTTAATGTGCGCATGGGCCTGGTTTTGAAACCAGTCAAGTTTCAACCTCTAACTGTCCAGACCACAGCATTAGCAGACTGAGAAAACCTACCCAGGCAGGGAGAAAGTTGATTGATCAGAACAGGTCTCTAGACAAGAGAAAAAAAAAAAATACTTGCTATCCAATTGTGGCTGATGAGCTCTAATGAGTTTTTTTTTTTAACTAGGACCCCAGTGTATGGCATTCTGCCCTGCTATCTCACCTCTAAATGTAGAAATATTGTTCCCATGGGCCAACATGTATTGGGTTGGCCCAGTGGCTGCATGAAATCCTTAGTTGTACACCTCAGAAGGGACAAAATCTTGACAAAGATGAAGTGGGGCATTACTTTCTACGAGTGGCATAAACCCTACATAGGGGGTTATTTACTAAAACCCTACATAGGGGGTTATTTACTAAAACTAAAAAAAATCTGGTGCAGCTATGTATAGAAACCAATCAGCGTCCAGATTGTTTGCCAAAGATTAAAGTATTACTAAACCCACAACAGTAAAAATCAGTTTGTGTATGTAGTAAAGCATGTTTGTTAAAGGGTGAATCCTCTGCATTGTATAAAAATACTGTTTGATCCTATGGCCTCTGATCCTCCCCTTCTTCTACTATCCCCAATCCATCAGCTGAAAGAGAACCTTGGGGGTAAGCTGCACGTTTTTGGTGTGTATTGCTGGAGAGGTTTTTTTCCATGGGAGAGTGCAAGTGAGCAGCATAGGGCCAGTCAGCACTCTCCAGACAGAGGTCAGCGGTTATTCAGCCTCATAGGACAATCAGGGGAGGATGAAATCTCCTTCTACAAGCTTTAACCAGTGTTCTGCTGGACACTGATAGAAGTCACAAGACTGCGCTAACTGCTGATGAGAAAAGGTACTTAGCAGTTTATATTTACTAAAATAATTGCATTTCCATGTTGTGTGTACTGTGGGAGACCAGATATAGTGAATGCTGGGCCATGAAGTTAGATGCTGATTGGTACATTCCAATTTTAGTAGATCTACCCCATAGTCTTCAATGTGATGGTTCTTTTTGGGCAGTACAGCTGAGGATTTCACATAGCCATACATCCAGGCCTGTTGGAACAGGGGGTGCTGCTTTTACCAAAGAGTAGTAATGTGCTACATACAGCAGTACTCAAAATCCCTTTTTAAAATATACAATATATACATTATAAGATATAGAAGTATAAATAAAGATATATGTATTATCACTTTCACCCCCTACACTATTAATGGCAATGGCAAGGTGATGCCTAGCACATATCCATTTTTAATATACTTAAGTTACTGCACACCTGAGCAATTATACACTAGGCCTAAATTTGCAGCACTTAATTCTCTAGTCCACAGCTTGGTAAATTTTTACCATTACTGTGTATATAGTAATCTTCACATGTCTGACATATCTGTTTAAGAAATGTATGAGACAGTCCTGCTTCATAGCAGTAACAGATACCTCCTTTAGATTGCCTTGAGTGCAATACCTACATAAGGTAACTTACATGCAGTAAGGCTAAAAAGCTGCATATATATCCTGTCAGCATGGAAGTATAGTGATATCAATAAAAGTCAACACCAAACAAGACCACAGTTAAGGACTGGAAGACGCACCCAACTCTGGGTTTCCATTTTGAGCTTCAACAGTCTTGCTGCTGCTCATATGCTCACTGATATCAGAGCTATCAGACAATTTGGCTCCAAATTTATCCCCTTTGTTTGGAGCTTTGGAGGGTATACAAAGGTAGCACAGGAACTTGAAGCAGGAGAGGAGCCCCTGAGAAATACTTGTGGAAAAAAGTTTCTTGCAGGGGTGGCAAAACTGGTAGAAAAAAATGAGCATAAACAGAACAGCCAAACAATAAGCAACCATAAGCTGCAGCACCACCAGTGGAGCACATACATACATATATACCTCTGTTCTATAACTATACCACAGCAGAAGCAGGGCAGCATTTTCAATAAATCTCACCATATAATAAACAGCCATACGATACCAGTTTTGAGACTTATTGATTAGGTCTGAGTCATTTAGTTTGAGTTGAACAGCAGACCAGCAGAACATATTGATGCCGGCATACAGAAAAGTAAGGAAACAGAGAACCATAGTTGTGCCAACCCTGGTCAATGCCTTTTCAATGTTTTCAGGAAAGGGACATTTGCTCTGCCAAAAAAGAATCCATGGGTAAAAGAAAAACACAATAAAGTTCATTAACACCAGCGGCAAGGTCCATATTTGAAGGACAGAGCTGAACAAAACCAGAACAATCACTCGAGTGGCAATCTCAAAACTCCTCCACAGGAATATGCAAATATAGGCAACTGGCTTGACGCTGATATCATAGTCATCATACTTGATCTTTATGGCCAGAATGTTGCAGCGCAATGCTCCATACACAATAGACAGCAAGGAGATGCTCATGAAGACACCTGAAAAAATAGTACAGGTATTAGAATTTACTTCGTCTACAGTACAGTATATACCATGTAATGCACACAGAAATGATGGCAGATCCCAGTATTAATGGTTAAGAAAAGCAGTTATGCTTTCTAACCAATGCCCTCAGTTAAAATAATTCAAATGGACATGTGTTTAAATTTACACTATAAGGCCTCATTCACATCATACATGCAGAAAAACTGACGCACAAATTTCACTTGCAGAAACATCAGTTTACATTAGTTTTCATGCTCGCTTCATTGAGTTTTATTCACGTTGTACATTCCTGCATAGAAAAAAAAATCTGCACGTGATACCAGTGTTATGGTGTGAACAGGACACATAGAGAACAATTAGTTTTTTTGGGGGGGCCCATGCAGAAACACTGACGTCTCTGCACTTGGTGTGAATGAGACCTACGATTTTACAAAATAATTTTTTTTTTTAAAGGTTTAATATAACCTGCTAAAAATATTATTTTAGTAAACCCATTTTTGATATTGTATGAATACATGCAATAGTGTTATAAAACATGTTATTGGTTCAAGGTAAATCTGTCTTGCCTGAAATTCAGGTCTTGCTGATCTCCTTCAGAAAATGCTAGTTGCCTAAATGATATACTAACTCACTGCCTTTGATATGTTCAAAGTCACTGATAAGTATGGAGACCAAGGATTTCAGAGAAACATCAGAAGTATGTGTCAATGACCCTGAAGTATTGAAGAAAGCAATCCAAACTGAAAGCAAGAACATTTTCACAAGGAGTGGTCAATGATTATGGCCTCCATGTTTATCTCAAAACTGGTTTCCTATAATCCATACAAGTGCCCTCTTTCTTACATATTAAAAACCACGTATTTGTAAACCACCTTATTTAGCAAAGTATTTTTACATTTGACACAAAATAAGCATGTGTTCTCATACATACTCACAAGTGTTCTCATACATAACATAAATTTTGAGTCTCATGAAGGGGCATAGCCTCAAAATATATCAGTGTAGTGTAGGTACAGTACTTGCTCATCAACGTTACATCCACGGCCTCTTTTTTTGCACCAGTTTTGGATGTTTCTGTAGTCCCTTTCACTCAGGCACTCCCAGTATTCACAGCAGAGTTTTCTACCTGGCTTGTTTCCTCTCCTACTGCCAGTCTTTGTGTTAGTGTGTTTCAGCATTAATCATGTGTGACCTGGGGTTCCTTTGGGAGAATGTCTTGTTGATAGGCTCTGACCAACCCACTTCTGTGTATGTATTACATTTAATTTAAGTAGTTTTATCTGCACAATCCAGTGCATTCTTTCTTCTTTTCTTTTTTTTGCTAGCTCTAGTCTGTATCAAGTAAAACTAGTGGTCTGCTCGCTCAATGTAGAGATAACAGTGTCCCATGTGTATATACATGAGGTGAAACAAAAGGAATGCTAAAAGGGGCTTGCATTCTTTTTGTGTCACCTCATGATCACAACAGGAAATTTCTAAAGGGTTTTCAGTTTTGACATGTTTTTGCAAACAAGATTTATCAATCATGTACACCAGGGGTGCTCAACCTTTTGAAGAGCAAGGGTCATTTAAGTGATTTGGTAACTGGGAGTGGGCTACAATGAAACTACATGGTTCAAAATTTTCTATTTTTTTTTTATTACGAATAGCATAATGGACATTTGCCTCCGGCAGCCACTGAATGCCGGCTGGAGGGAGAGGAGGACAAGTTGACTTTCAGCAGTTGCTGGGGAAAATGGAGAGGATCAGAGACTGAATTAGCCGCCCTCGTCCCCCTCCTGTCCAAGTGTAAAACAGAATGTGACAGGGAGGCCACAGGAGCTCCCTGGAGCATGGGGCAGGGTCAACATTGTGACCCGACGCCAAACCAGTGGTTGGAGGAGTGTGGCAATAACACTTCTCAATTATGGGGTTTTACTGACCCAAAGTCGCCAGTGTATATGAGCCCTTACTGTCCTGAGCCCCCTATAAGACTGCTTTTACACTGATGCTCTGCAGGTTTACCCTCACCGTGGGTGCAGCGCAGTGCATCTGTGGCTTTCCTGCGGGTTAGCTTTGCCATAGACTTCTATTATATCTTTATCTTTCAGAAAGTGCACCAAAACGCCTGCATTCAAGATATAAAAGATGTCGATGGCTTGGTGCAACTAACCTGCAGGAAAGCCGCAGGTGCAGTGCACTGCACCCATGGATTAGTGTGAAAGCAGCCAAATACCCCTTTTTTATAAGTGCTAATATGCCTATTGCCAAACCATGTAATGTTTAGTAAACTGACCTTTTCCTCTTCCAGCTTCTGCTGGCATCACTCTCCAGGCTGCTAGAGAGGTCCCAGGTGAAGTGTACTTGGTATCACTCTGCCTGGGACAGGAGGCAGTGCTACAGAGAAAGCATCTGCAAATGCAGCTCAAGCTCCCTCCACAGCCACTTGCTTCCTCCACTGCCGGCTCCATGTGTTCTGAGATGGCGGATCGGCAACCCGAGATCTGCTCTTGTGGACCTGCCATCCCAGAGCATGAGTGGGTCACAGCTTGAGTACCCCTGATGTACACAGACCACTTTAGATGTACCCGTGTGCTTTCAATTGTAGTAAATTCAGAGACTACAGAACAGTAGGTGGAAGAGAGAACACTGCTTAATTATAAGAAGTAAATCTCATGTACACAAGTTAGATATCAACACTGAAGAAGCCTCCAGTATCTGTCATATAGCTCGCTATGAATACAGGATGTGTTCTTCACATACTGTATAAAGCATTGTTGCTATTTGCTTGATATAGTGAACCCAAACAGCATTAATGCACACTGGTGATAGCATTAAATGATGGATATCCTGGTAGGGGAGCATGTTATGATTTAAAAAGTTGACTGTAAACCCTTCTCAGGGGCTACAGTGCTGGTCTTGTCAACCAGTGGTCATGAGTTCAAATCTTACTTGGGCCTGACTACAAGTATTGGCAACTGTATCTCACATAGCATTGTGTTAATAATTTATAAACTTGAGGGACATTTTTTGGATACATATGGGAGCTACCATTGCTGGCCTCCTTCTGGAAATGTTAGATGCCTTGCTGTTTTTGACTTCAGTGCTTTTGAGTCTAACCCAAAACAAGCATACTGCAAACAAGTGTCAGAAAAGTGCCAGAACTCCTTATTCCCACTGTTGTTGTGGATCAGGAACTCAAACAGCACAGAAGTCAAAGCATCAGAACAGGGGTGGACTGACAACTCATGGGGCCCCTGGGCAATAGGGGATCATGGGGCCCCTGTGTCCTTGCCCAAACTCAAAAAAGCCTATGAAAAAGGTACCCGGGGGCATCTCATGGGGCCCCCTACTGACCCCGGGCCCTCGGGCAGTGCCCGAGTTTCCAAATGGTCAGTCCGCCCCTGCATCAGAATGACAACCTGGAATAAAGCATTTTCATAAGGAGAGGTCAGTAATGGTATCCTCTGTTAATGTCTCATTACAGATTTAAAAATGCAAGAGTAGTAAATGCACATGAAGTCCTGCAAGTAAACTGTTTACTCACACAATGATGTTGTAATATTTCTCTGCATTACACATATATATAGCTGAAGGGTCACTTGAGGTGCTGATCCCAGGAAAGCTTGGATGACGGATGCTCGGCTGAAGGCAGACCTATGTGTAAATAGTTTTCTCTCTGCTTGACCCAGCTCCTTCTCCACTTCATCACTACAGCCTCCTTTGGGCAGTTGCTTCTTCCTTGTGATGCTAACATAGGGCTCCTCGACTTTGCCAGCAGTGAAGTATATGAAGAACACTTCAATACATCTGCAAAATAACCAAGCAGGTCAAATAATTTTTTAGGACATATAATTAGTTTTCATTTAAAGTACTGTGTTTTTAATTTGTAAAAAAAATGCAGAAGAGAAAATAATTGCAACTACAAGCTGTAGGAGAGAACGGTCATGCCTTTCGAGATAATCCCCTCCAATGATGCTCAGAGCCCTCCTAGAATAGCTATGCAAATACAGTACCAAGGGACAAAGAACAAAATAAATCGTCCACACTACGAGACGTGACTAGTACAGGTATGGGTATTTTTCAAGTGCACACCATGCATCCCACTGAGACTAAATCCTCTCTAACAAATTTCTCACAAAATGGGCTTAACCATTTCTATATTTAAGCCACTTTTTTTGTGTGAACTTGTTAGAAATGGTGAAATTCCAGAAGGGAGCATGTCATGTATTTAAATATAAGACTTGCCTCTGCTTAGGATGTCTCAGAGAGCAAATGCTTTCTTTTATCATTCCCTGTGCATGCAGGGAGCACAAACAAGTTCTCACACTGTGGGCACCTTGGGGGAAGGAGAAGCTGGTGGGGCTTCAGTAGCACTGTCAGTTTCCTCTAAAGGTCTGTGTGTATATAGGCATGTCCTCTCACCCCCAGGTGACAATAGTTGGGGTGCTGTCCTTTAGACACTGGACCAAGTAGCAGGTTGGTGAAAGGCTTACCTATTTTTCACTAAAAGGAAGAGGATATACTGTGGAAGGTACTCCAGTTGGCAGTGGAGGGACAAATGTTGGCTATAAGGGTTTGCGCTGAGAGCTTTTTACTGTTCTTTGTTATAGACTCCCATGCTGCTCTGTACTGCTTACAGGTTCACATGCTGCTTTGTACTGAAGTTCCAAGCTATTGCAAATTTGTACATAGGCTAATACAATAGCAACTGTACTCTTATCAAGGCCAAGGTTTGAAAGGTCATGAAGAGTGGCAAAACATAGTGGACCACAAAGACCTGTAGTCAAGGGCTTCTTTATGATCTGGGAATCTTTGGCCCTGCTTTTCTTGCCAGGTTTCACCATCATTGTAGGTAGGATGATAGTACAATTAGTAATCTTTCGTGAAACAGCTTTGGACAAGTCAAAATACTATTTCACTGAACAAACTTTACTACAGCAAATAAAACATCCAAACAAATGTTGGAAACCATCCTCTTAACTGATTAATGAAGAATGAATAAACATACTTTTATGAACTCTACAAGAGATTTGTGGTGCTTCCATTACTTTTCTAAACTTTAAAAAACATCTGGCAGGTGTTCTAAACCTTACATTATATATTTCGTTTTTTTTTAGCTGAATATGTTTTCCCTTTGTCTATTATTTGTAGGTTCAAAATTATTTCACAATACTTTTAGTTGGGGAAATATAAAATATGGCGCATGAATATTTCATATATAATAATTCCGGCTAGCAGGTTGAGCTCTGGGCTCCTTTTATGCTTGTTTACCAGGCCAACATTAATTGATTTCTGAAAAAGTCTGTTGTTTACAAAGCTGAATAGCTGAAGCTCAGAATACATAGACATCTGAATGAATCAAATAAGTGACTCAATTCCTTTCTCCCTGCTGTGTATAGGGATTCAGTTAGAGACACAAAGGGAAAACTACCGCAGTGGGAGTAATTATGGGCCATTCCTAGAGATTACTTTAAGCACTACTCAATTATGGGTATTAAAGTACATATAAATTCTGCTCAAGTTCGACAATAGAGCTGTTCACTGATCAGCACTGGTGAATCTCTATTCAACTACATATAGCAATTTAGGGGAGCTTACCACTAAATAAACTGAAAGACGTATGCTCATTATTGCACTGAGAAAGCACTTTAAAAACCCAAGCCTTTTTTAGAAACCTGTTGCAACACACCAATCCGACTAATTGGTTTACAGTGTTTTCTGAACAGCACTATAAAATATTAATAAATAATGATAAAATTACATGCTCATTAAAGTGGACCTTTCTCCTCCAAAACATGGAAAGCACATCTGCAAGCAGCTCTGTATGCTCAGCAGTAAACACATTATAATCCTATTGCAGAATGCCCTCATTTATGAAAATGTACTATGTCTTTTTTGGCACTTCCACCTCCTTTGAGGCACTGGCGATGTAGCCATTACCTCCCAACTGACTCCTGGAAAGTCTATGTCTCCAGTGCCTTAAAGGGAGCTCTCAAAGTAAGGCATGCAAGCATATTGGTGTCTTAGGGGAATACAGCATAAAATTCTGGCTTTTTTTAGCCTGGGAAGCCCAGGTGCTTTGTAGAGCCACCCATAGACATGAATCAGGTGTGCTCATGTACTCTCATATATAGTATATGGATGTAATCCCCAAATGCAGATTTTCTGTGTTCAGGGAAAATGTCCATACGCCATACAGGGGATTATGTGAGTACCAGTGTATAACTGCTCATAGCTATTCATGTCTATGTGCAGATGTACGCAGTACCAGGGCTTCTTGGGCATAGATAAAAAACAGAATTTTAGTTGCACACCCTTATGCACCCAGGTGCACGAGACCTTAATCTGCAAGATCTCAGGAGAAAAATAATGAATCTACTATTTGCAAAGATCTCACAACATTTTACAAAATATCACAAGATCTCAGGAAATAGTATACTAATTTTTTCTGCATAGATGACATGATTGTCAATGGTGGACTAATCAAGAGAACTAGGAAGAAGAAACTGGCCACTGATGGCACTGATTTTTAACCGCTTGCCCGCTACAGGATGGCAGTGCTGCACAATATCATGTATATATATATATATATATGTGATTTTGTATTTCCGGGTAGGGAGCGCGTGCGGGTGCCACCTTAAGACCAAACTTGCTGAGTGGGAACTCGGAGGGCATGATGAGGTAAGGAACCATGCTGTGCAATATCGCTGCCAAGAACAGGCAAGTATAACATCTCTTTTAATTAAAAATAGCTGTTGACTGCTTCCCCACCGCCCTATAGTAAAACTACTGCTACAAAGCAGCAGGGCTGCGCAAAATCATGTGTGTGTATATATATATATACTGTACATGATTTTGCATTTCCAGGTAGGGGGTGCACTCGCCGCTCTACCCGCGCCGCCATTGGCAACTTCAGTTGTCGATCACTAGGTCCCAGCTGGTGATTCCCCGCCGGCACCCGGCGATCACTGAGTATCACTGACGGGGGAGAGGTCTGTATGTAAACAATACAGATCTCTCCCGTCAGCTCCAGCATACTGCTTTGTATTGCTCTGCATAGCAATACAAAGCAATGTGCTTACACTGTAAAGCACACACACAGCACACAGTAAAACAGCACACATTTAACCCGTTGATCACCCCAGATGTTAACCCCTTCCTGCTTTTTATTAGCACTGATCACTGTATTAGTGTCACTGGGGATGTTAGTGACAGTTCCCCACCAGAGTGAGAATGCCCGCCACAGTCCCGCTATAAATCGCTGATCACTGTCATTACTAGTATAAAAACATTAAAATTCCAGTAAATATACAGCCTTTTGTAGACACTTTAATTTTCACGTAAACCAATTAATTTACACGTATTTGGATTTTTTTTTTTTAGCAAACACATGCAGTAAAAAAAATTTTGGCCTAAATTTATGACGAAATTTGATTTTTTTTTATTTTTTTACTGGACATGTTTAACCTCCCTAGCGGTATTTCCCGAGTGTAGCTCGGGGTAAAATGTCAGTGCCAAAAGCGGTAACCCCGAGCTACACTCGGGCTTACCATGCGGCGCTGCATAGGGAGTCTCTGCAGAGCTTACCTTGTCTTTTGCTCCCGCGATGTGTCCCCTGCAGTGTCCCCGGCCATCTCCTCCGGCTGATGACGGCATCCAGCTTCTGTGTTTCGGTCCCTGTGACGCTGGGACGTACGGGCGGCGGCGGCGGCGGCGGCGGCGGGAAATTTAAAATTTTTTAAAAATTTCATTTTTTTCCAAACAAATTTTACATAGCAAAACATTGCTGTTTCAACCCATTTCACATACATTTTGTCCCTAGTGCTTTGTCCTGTGCCCTGCCTGCATTTTGTCTGTTCTTTCTGCCTGGAAACTGAGAAAAGTCCATGGCGTCCAAAAAGTGTCCCTTTAGGTCAAGCTAGGGAACAGCGATAGTAAATCAGAACCACTTGCAGAATTGAGTGATAATGATTCGTGGGGAAATTCGTCATCAGACACTGAAAACGATTTTGCAACTTTGCTCAAACTTGCTGCTATATTTCAAATTTCAGTGTTTTTGGTTTGATTATATTATTGAATTAAATGTATTATTATTATATTATTATTTTTTATGATTATTTATTACATTATAATTTATGATTTTGTGTTTTAAATTTTATCATACCCGGGATGTTTAATAGACTCTTGTTCGGACAGATTTCAGTGAGTTATTCCTAAAAATTACAGCCTACAATAAAAAAACTACATATTTCCATGCAAAATAATGGTGCCGCTTTCAGCACCAAAAATCTGAAATAATCAGGCTGCCAGGGAGGTTAATAGCAAAAAGTCAAAAACATTTTCTCAAAATTGTTGTTTTTTTGTTTATAGCGCAAAAAATAAAAACTCAGAGGCGGTCAAATACCACTGAAAGAAAAAAGGGAAAAAAAGGACATACATTTCATTTGGGTGCAGCTTTGCATGACCGCTCAATTGTCAGTTAAAGTAATGCAGCACCATATCACAAAAAATGGCCTGGTCAGGAAGGGGGGTAACTCCTCTGGAGGGCAAGTGGTTAAAATAGTGGACAGAGCAATGGAATTTAGGAACATAAACATTAATCAGGCAAATAGCAATAAGAGCTGTTATGTGTTTCCTATATTTATTTCATTGGTGTTGGTGTGTAATAGAAGAAGAGAGGGAAGAAGGTCCGCTTTAAATTCTCACCTTAGGTCAGCCAATCAGTATAGTTTCTTTTTCTCATTTCCATTTATTTTACCAACACACTTTTTTAACGTATTTATTTTCTCAAAGGTTTTTTTTTTTTTAACTTTAAATTTTCACAAGCATACAGTATATAAAGGGAAGTGAAGTGACAGACTGTGTGCTCATTGCCTAGCAACAATGATAATGTCTATAAAAATGCTGAATATCTCATTGAGGTTTGGAATAGGGAAAAATAATGTGAAAAGATAAAGAGAATGTGAAATATGCATTTAATAAGAACTAATTGAACTAGATGTTGAGTGTTATATAAAGGTTCAAGGATTTCTGAATTCTCACTGTGACAATGTTTGACAGCTAGGATTAGGTCAGGAATGATTATGTTACCTGGAAGTTGTTCTTAGAGCGTAATGTAGTCCCCAACCCCCACCCATGTAGAGTAGGCTGCTAGATACATTAGTTTGGCTCCACTGTAATCAGAGGAGAAGGGGATTGATTTGTTAGGGCTGCTTAGTGGCTCACAGTCTGCTGCTCTGTTACTTCCCTCTGTCTTGTAGAGGATTCTAGAATCATAGTGGGGGGAAGGATAGGGCATACAGCTTGAATATTTGTGCAATTCTAGCCAATCCTTGGAGAGGTGTACCTAGCAGGTGGTGAGAGAGCCCATTATTAGTCTGAGATATGGGCAGAAGTTGTTAGTGTTCCTGGTTCCAGTCCTACAGGAGGAGATCCCTGTGCAATGGTCCTGGTGCAGGATCCTAGAATAAGACCTCAGGAAGTCACCAAGGTCCCTTCTAGGCTTAGCGGGGGGGCCTATTGCAAATCCGCTTCCAGGGATCAAGTCGGGTCTGTAGAAGCTCTCTGGAGAGATCCAGGAGGAAGTTGGTGGGAAAGAGTCTAGCTGTCCTGTGGTGGAGTCAGTCTGCATCTCCCTCACTAGGAAAAGCCTGGTGAAGATTGGCAGGGGGAAACTGATGATTCTGTGGCTATGTGAATAGATGACCCCAGTGCTCTAGAATAGTGACTGTGTGTAGCTTTTAACTCAAGAAGGAGTACAGGTCACCATCAGCATACAGATCCTGTGGGACATTCACTTCTTGTGCAGCAAAGCCAGAAGTTGAGGAGTCCTCAAGTTGTTTAGCTTTATAGTTTATCAGGGTATCAGGTAAGTTTATCATTCCCAATAAAAAACCCCAAAGAAACCCCTAGAATGTTCTTTGCAGCCAGTGAAAGAGTGCAGAAAATGCAATGTGGCTGGCTGTGTGGGCTCTAAAGGGGAAATAGGACCAAATTCACCAGCAGCTCTTTAGAAAAGGCACTACAGAAACTTAGTCAGCAGCTACAAAGAGTCCAGCATTGTCTTCCCAGCAGTCGATTCATCAGACTTCTCCCCCCTGGTGCCCCCACCTTAGATTTGGGAACAGGCTGTGACCTCCTGATATCTCACAGCCTACCCCCCACTGAATGAGCGTAAGGTACGACTGCACTGTGGGACTGGTCCTGCAGCCACCTGGGACATGTTAATGTGATGTGTCCTTTGATGCTTTGGGGAGTGGGGGAGGTTTGTCCTAAGTATTATTTATTGCAGGTACTAAGTAGATATCATGCTTGCCTTGGTGAAAACAGAGGAAGTGGGGGTACCTGTCAAAAATAGCTACCTGTTCCCTGAAAAAAATAACACTTCAAATGTATTAGGGTGATGGGGGGGGGGGGAGGAGGATGAGTGGTACTTTCGCTTATGAGTGAAGGTCCGCTTTAATACAACACTGCCATTCAAGTATTTCCCATTATTTACTTCATGTAGGACAGAAACACTATTCCTACTCAGAATCAGAAATTAAATTGAAGAATCAATTTTTTTTTCATACACTCTCATTAAAGCAACAATTGAGCTGATGTATAAAAGTATGCCGCTGAAAGGTTTTGCTGCACCACTTTGTTTCCAATGCCCCTTACTGCAGTCCAGATTTAAAAATGTAACAAGGTTTCTATAGTGGAGGAAACAGAAACAACAACAAATGTCGTCATTAGCATACTTTTTATGCACCAGCCTCTATATTAAATCCTAGCAATAAAATTTAGGAAAAATGCATTAAGAAAAATGTCTTGAGTTTTAATTTAATATACAGTACTTCATCAAGGTTTTAATGAATCAATTAACATTTATCCCAATTGATACAATAGATAGATAGATAGATAGATAGATAGATAGATAGATAGATAGATAGATAGATAGATAGATAGATAGATAGATAGATAGATAGATAGATAGATAGAGATAGATAGATAGATAGATAGATAGATAGATAGATAGATAGATAAATTATACAGTTCTGTCCTATCCCATGTATTAGCTTGACATCCTTTATCCCAATTACCCAAGCAAACCAAATTATGCCGCACATGCTTCTTTCCGGTGTAGCCCAGACAAACAACCCACCCCCGCCTTTATCATGTCACCAATTGTGTTAGGTTATTTTAGTGCAGCAATGTACATATTATGATTGCCCATAAAGTCTAAGCCTAATACGGGTGTAGTGCTACTAGCTGCAATGGGGTAGGCTATAAAAAAAAAAGCACATGTAAGAAAACCAAGTCAGTGGTACTTTATATTACTGATAGGATATAGCAAAGCGTGTATCAATCAGTCATGTGATTTATATGTGGTCCTATAGTAGAGGCCAAAACCATGATCCACCCTGATGCCTGCCATGTCCCGTCCTCACCTTACTAAAGGTCCCAGCTGCAGTAGATGCAGCAGCAGCACCAGCGGTCTGTCCCTGCTCAGGTCCCTGTGAATGAAGATGAGACTTATCTGCACCAGCACACAGGGCAGGAGGGAGAAGAGGAGGGTCAGGGACTGCCAGATCTTGTCTCCGGCCGATCTGTATGTGCTGCTTATGTACAGGGCGGTCACTGTCTCTGCCACAAACAGGGAGACTGACACCAGCACCGAGCCAGGGAATTTCATACTGGTTTACCAGTGTGTGCACTTGCAATGCTGCACCAGCTGCTGCTCCAGTAGGGCTGTGTCACTGAGCTGCAGACAGGAGAAACACACTGTTCACCACCCATCCCTGCCCTCCTCCCCCTCTATCCATCCCCAGCCTTTATTTCTTGTACATGAGCTCGCTATGCTGCAGCGATGCTGCCGCTGGATCCATTCACTGTTATATCTGGGAGTGGGAGGCAAACCGTGCAAGTGTAAAATTGTATATATACAGAGGGTGGGCAAAAAATAGGTGTACAATACTGATCAGATCATGAAATTTTATAGTAGGTTTACAATACTGATCGGATCATGACATTTTATAGTAGGTATACAATACTGATCGGATCATGACATTTTATAGTAGGTATACAATACTGATCGGATCATGACATTTTATAGTAAATATACATTACTGATCAGATAATGACATTTTATAGTAGGTATACAATACTGATCGGATCATGACAATACTGATCGGATCATGACATTTTATAGTAAATATACATTACTGATCAGATAATGACATTTTATAGTAGGTTTACAATACTGATCAGATCATGATATTTTATAGTAGGTTTACAATACTGATCGGATCATGACATTTTATAGTAAATATACATTACTGATCAGATAATGACATTTTATAGTAGGTATACAATACTGATCGGATCATGACATTTTATAGTAGGTATACAATACTGATCGGATCATGACATTTTATAGTAGGTTTACAATACTGATTGGATCATGACATTTTATAGTAGGTATACAATACTGATCGGATCATGACATTTTATAGTAAATATACATTACTGATCAGATAATGACATTTTATAGTAGGTTTACAATACTGATCGGATCATGACATTTTATAGTAAATATACATTACTGATCAGATAATGACATTTTATAGTAGGTATACAATACTGATCGGATCATGACATTTTATAGTAGGCATACAATACTGATCGGATCATGACATTTTATAGTAGGTATACAATACTGATCGGATCATGACATTTTATAGTAAATATACATTACTGATCAGATCATGGCATTTTTAAAGTAGGTATACAATACTGATCGGATCATGACATTTTATAGTATTTTATAGTAGGTATACAATACTGATCGGATCATGGCATTTTATAGTAGGTATACAATACTGATCGGATCATGACATTTTATAGTAGGTATACAATACTGATCGGATCATGACATTTTATAGTAAATATACACTACTGATCAGATCATAGCATTTTATAGTAGGAATACAATACTGATCAGATCATGACATTTTATAGTAGGTATACAATACTGATCGGATCATGACATTTTATAGTAGGTATACAATACTGATCGGATCATGGCATTTTATAGTAGGTATACAATACTGATCGGATCATGACATTTTATAGTAGGTATACAATACTGATCGGATCATGACATTTTATAGTAAATATACACTACTGATCAGATCATAGCATTTTATAGTAGGTATACAATACTGATCGGATCATGACATTTTGTAGTAGGTATGCAATACTGATCGGATCATGATATTTTATAGTAGGTATACATTACTGATCGGATCATGACATTTTATAGTAGGTATGCAATACTGATCGGATCATGACATTTTATAGTAGGTATACAATACTGATCGGATCATGACATTTTTTAGTAGGTATACAATACTGATCGGATCATGACATTTTGTAGTAGGTATACAATATTGATCGGATCATGACATTTTTTTAGTAGGTATACAGGTATACTGATCGGATCATGACATTTTATAGTAGGTATACAATACTGATCGGATCATGACATTTTTTAGTAGGTATACAATACTGATCGGATCATGACATTTTGTAGTAGGTATACAATATTGATCGGATCATGACATTTACTAGTAAATATACATTACTGATCATATCATGGCATTTTATAGTAGGTATATATTACTGATCAAATCATGGCATCTTATAGTAGGTATACAGTAGGTATACATTAATGATCAGATCATGGGATTTTATATAGTAGGAATACATTACAGATCTGATCATGGCATTTTATGTTAGTTATACATAAATTATCAAATCATGGGATTTTTGGTAGGTATATATTACTGATCAGATCATGATATTTTATAACGGGGTCTCCAAACTTTCTAAACAAAGGGCCAGTTTACTGGCTTTCAGACTTTAGGGGGGCTGGACTGTGACCATTGGGAGTAGAAATTGCTGTGCTTCATTGGAAGTAAACAATACATATTTGGCATTAGGGGGAGGAATAGTGCCCTAATCTTGGTGTAAGTTGGAGATATAGTGCCCCATCATTGGTGTCAGTGGGAAGAATAGTGTCCATTGTTAGTGTCAGTGGGAGGAATAGTGTCTCATGGTTTGTTTCTGTGAGAGGAATAGTGCCCAATTGTAGGTGTAAATGGGAGGAATAGTGCCCCATGGTAGGTGTCAATGGGAGGCATAGTGCCTGTTGTTGAAGTCAGTAGCAGGAATTATGCCCCCTTGTTGGTGTCAGTGGGAAGAATATTGTCTTGTATCAGTGGGAGAAAAAGTGCCCCAAAGGCCGGATAAGGGCAAGCAAAGGGCCGCATCCGGCCCCCGGGCCGTAGTTTTGAGACCACTGTTTTATAGTAAGTATACATTACTTTTTTTCTCTATATTTTTTTTTAAGTTTTTTCCAGTACATAATAAGCATTATATCAAACTTTTCAAAAATGCACACCTTTCCACATGTATTACCTATTCCCCTTTCCTCCCACCATCTTTCAGACCCCCCCCAATGAATTTCCCGTCCATATTACTTCAAATTTTTCCTGTCTATATCTATATCCCTTTCCCTCCTCTCTCTTATCTTCATACAAGACCATTCTACTATTCAGTTAAACTCTCCCTACTCTGACCTCCTTATACTCCAACCGTTTCCAAGTATCTTTTAGATGTTTTAAAGTCATACCATTTACACCACTCTATTCTAAATTTTTCAAATTTTTCTTCCTCCACATGATATAGCTCCTCCCCTTTATTTTATATACTCAACCTTATTTATCCAATCCTTCATTGTTGGGGGCTCCTGGACCTGCCAGAATTTGGGAATAAGTCCTTTGGCCCCACTAATTAAATGATATAATACACTGATCTTTCTGTATGATAATGCCCGATATCTCCTGTATATATTGGATTATTTCTTGCCAGAACTCCTGTATTTTAGGACAATCCCACCATATATGTGCCATTGTTCCCTTAATCCCACACCCCCTCCAACATAAAGGTGAAACTTCTAATCGTTGTTTATGTGCCACACTCGGTGTAATATACCATCTCGCTAAACATTTATAGTTAATTTAGACTGTGTTCATATTCATCACCCCATGTGTTAATTTAAATATCATATTTTTTTGTTGCTCATTCAATTTTTGTTCCCAACTCCCATTCCCATTTCTCTAAGAACAACGGAGGATCAGACCCCGCCAATTCAATAAGGATCTTGTAGATCCTAGAGGTAGCATGTAAGTATACATTACTGATCAAATCACGGCATTTTATAGTAGGTATACATTACAGATCAGAGCGTGGGGTTTTATGGTAGGTATACATTACTGATCAGATCATGGTATTTTATTTGAATTGTATTTATGTATCATTTAGTAATCGTGGAACATAAGAAAAATTTCCCAATCAATGGCTGTTTGAAGGAAATTGGCAGCTCCCCATAGAATCCAAGTTGACCTACTGTCATCTTATGTCTATAATTACCCTTAGACATCTAAGAAAGACTATACACCAGCGGGTTGAACGAAAAAAAATGAACCAATTTCCCCATCCACATATTCAATGTGGATAGAAGAATAACTCTCGCTGTGCTATTGTATTCTGCCAGCGGAGAGTGTTCCATTCCAGCAGAATACAATGATCAGTGTTGCTGGCTATAGCCAGCTGACAGGCTGGTTGTTCACAAGTTGATCAATATGTGGGCGGTGGAGAGCGCAGGCACATCCTTGCCGACTACTCCAGATTGAAAGCCCACAGGGAGTGTACGTGCTCATCAATGCCTAGGACTGGCTGGCTCTGAGGAAGACGTACAACCTCGAAACGTGTCAGCCGCCAGCTATCCAGAGGTCTACAGTCCCCCACCAGACCACCTTTAGGGGTTTTGGACCACATTGCATCTCTTGTGGCATGCTTTCCATTTGATTTTATTTCTCTTTTGATTATTTTACTTTTTATAAATAAATCTAATTTTTAAAGGTAATGTACTAGGCCTGTGCGCCCTCATTTTGTTTCTTATATAGAGTGTACGTGCTCATCAATGCCCAGGACTGGGCAGAGGCCGAGTTCCAGTGAAATCAACCTTAAGGTGGCCCCCGACGTATACATGAATCGTACACTGTGTGTAGTAATTAAATGTACAGAGTTCCTCTGTGAAGTGCTGCGTCCTGTGTCCCTACACACCTTACTGTGACTGTTGCATTAAGGAGGGACACCGATCAGCCTGTGCCCTTTCCACCTGTCCAGCATACCTCTGTCGCCTCACTCCCAGTGATAGAATGAGGACCTGCCGTGCACCTGCACGGACCTCATGAATGCTCTTCATTAGCTTGTTACTCTCTCTCATATCACCCATAAAGTGGGTTCAGTCCTGGTTGCTATGGGAAACCAACTGCTGGGGAGGGAACCAGGCTACCGATCCCCTCACTACAGGAGGACATCTCACCTTACCCAGGTACCATGCTTCAGGACATGCTGCTGAAACACCTTACACCAGTCCTTGGTTATCCATGGCAACTACTCTCTTCCTCCTCTTGTTGCCGACTTAACCCTTGTAACAGACTTACTTCATACCCCACATGTGCTTTACTGACCCAAGTTCTTTTGTCTGCCGTTTAACATGCACCCCTTTGTAAGTAACTTCAGACCAGGCTCAGGAAACAGTAAATGAACTTTATTGAACTTTGT